ACACACACACACACACACACACACACACACACACACACACACACACACATATGCACATGCACATGCACATGCACATGCACATGCACATGCACATGCACATCATGCACATGCACATGCACATGCACATGCACATGCACATGCACATGCACATGCACACACACAAACACACACACACACACACACACACACACACACACACACACACACACACACACACACACACACACACACACACACACACACACACACACACACACACACACACACACACACACACACACACACACACACACACACACACACACACACACACACACACACACACATGCACACACACCACATGCACAGACACACAGCCCCTTCCCCTTCCCTCTCAAGACCGCAAGGGCGAGGACACGCGTAGGCCGCACCACTAGCGAAGCCCACAGAGTGGAAGACTCCTATCACCGCCTCTGCCACCCACGGCGTGAGCCTTGGCCGCCTCTGTCAGTGTGCCCGTAATAGTGAGAGACTGCCAGTGAGAAGCCGGAGGAAGGTCGCTAGTCGAGAGAGATCACCAGTGGAATAGGGAGTCCACCGTGCTGCGAACCTGTCGCTGTCCCTTTTGTCAGTAGCAGGAGAACTAGGAGAGCGCAACCAGTAGGGCTCCCCGCTCCCGTTCCCCTGTGTCCCTGATCGTCCTTACAAGATCCTGCTCGCGCAGGTGGGGACCCTGTCCTTCTCCCACCCCTTGTTTGGTGTGTCCGTTTTATTTCTCTCGCCTGGGCGGCGGCGGCAGCGGCACCCACGTCCGCGGCGGCGGTGGTGGCTCCCACCCCGGGGGCGGCGAGAAGGCCGGCATCGGTGGCGGCAGTGGCCGGGGTGGTGGTGGCAGCTGCGCCGATGGCTGTGCTGGGGGCGGCGGCGGTGGGAGCGTGTTTAGGAACGCGCCAGCTACGGCCGTGGCGGGCGGCGGCGGCGGTCGTGCCGTTGGCTGTGCCGGGGGCGGCGGTGGCGTGAGCGTGCTGAGGAACGCGCCGGCTTCCGCAGCGGCGGTGCGCAGCCTGCGCCGGGGTGCGTGCTCGGTGCTGCACGCACCCGCCGACCTCGTCGTACTATGATGTATCTTATTCGGACCCCCCCCTTGGCGGCTTGTGATTTTCGTGCGAAGACAGCGAGATCTCGGCCCGCGTCCTCCGCTCGCGCCGGCCGCCCATGCGCTCGCGGGGCTCCCCGACGGCGCTGGCCTCTTGCCGATGGACCCAGCCGAGGTGCCCGACCAGTCGGAGTGGCGCTGACGCGCCGCGCGCGACCACCAGCCAGCTCTTCAGCGCGGTCGAGGACGGTGCGTCGAAAGAGTAGACACTCCAAACAGTTGCCGAGTTTTTTCCCTCTTTTTGAGCGCCGCTGCTGCACACCCAGCCCACCAGTGATACTAGAAGCACCAGATTCACCCCGTCGCGAGCTTGACCGCGACCCCGATGACCGCCCACAGGTGGCTGATCGCGGCCGCCGCCCACGCTGCTTTTCGGCGCCTGGCTCTCAGAGGGCCCCTGCGGCTCTCGCTCGTCGCGCGACCGCCGCCGACATCATGTGCTTGGTCGTCCCCGCCGGCACGGAGCTGCGCCACGTCGAATTGTTCGGCGGCTCGACCGCCGGCGCGCCCACCCTCGCCTCCTGCGCGCCTCACACCCAGAATTCTCCTCGCGCGCGGCCGACAAAGTAGGCACACGACCACCTCCCTCCCACTCACCCCCCCCCACGATGCACAGCCCGTCCACTCTCGCCGGCAAGGCGCACGGAACGCCCAATTTGGGCTGGAAATGCCGCCGCCACGGGTTGGTGGCGCCCTCGGCAGCGGGGCAGCGCCACACCGCGCAAACTTGCGCGACAAAAATGCGACCTCTGTCCCTCGTATTCACCCCAGATTTTGCCCTATCCAGGCTCACCCGGTACCGCGAGCGGCGAGCCGCGCCAAGTTTGCTCCATTTGCGACAAGTTCATCCCGCCCGAACGCCGATCTTCGGCCGCCTGGAGGCCCAGGACGGGGCTCGGGACCGGCCAGGTGTGGATTCTCCTCGGCGCTGCGGTGTATCTGCGCGCCCATGGCGCGTTCAGGGGTGCGCCTGAGGTGTGTAGACTGCGGGGCGCCGCGATAGCGCGGCGCCGACGATTGTGTCAGCTCACTGTCACACCGTCGACACGGTCACAGTGTGTGTGCAGTGCGTCCACTCCGGCGACCGTGAGGCCGCCGGTGCTCGCCTATACCGGCCAGTGTGGAGCCCTCAGTGTAGTTGCGTGTTGTACTAGTGATGCTGCACTAGGCGGCCCGTTTTTAGCAAAAACCAGATACCAAATCGCGTGTGGTCGTCGAAAAACCGCATCTTCGCCCGTCTGGGACCTCTTCGTACGGCTCCAAAAACCGCTCCTTAACGACGGCTACGCGGCCCGGCGGTCGATCTGCGCCTTCTCAGCGGTGGAGGGGATGTGGGCGGTACCGCGAAGTGCCGAACTTAAGGTAAGGTAGCTTGAGTTAGGGAGCTCTTTTCCTCTTGCCAAACTCCTGTTCTAATGTGCCTAACTCCTGCTACCCACCTCTCGGTCCCGCCGGACCGGCACACGGGCCCCGCGGGCCCCACTGAGGCATCTCCCTCCTACGTCCTACGCTACGAGCACCTACACTCGAGTACGAGTGCCTACGCTACTAGATTCCTACTCCTCCTCCTCCTCCTCCTCCTCCCCCTCCTCCTCCTCCTCCTCCTCCCTCCTCCTCCTCCTCACTCGCCGCACCCTCGTCGTCCGAGTCGGCGTTGGGGCCGACCTTCAACTTGGCCATCACCGGCCGCTTCTGGTCGACGACGATCTTTGTCACGCCTGATGACCCCGCCGCCGCCGCCGGAGGCGCGACGACCGCCTGGGTCTGGCCAGCAGCGTTGGAGGGTGGCCGTGCGAGCGCGGACTGAAGGGCGGACGTCGGTGGCGGCGCCGAGGAGAGCTGCAGAGTCGGCGCACCAAACGCGAGGGTCAGCTGCGTCTTGGGCATTGGCTTGGGGTAGACTAGGCTCGTCCCCGCTAGGGTGAGCAGCAGCAGCATGCACACCAGCGGATAGGCGGCGGGGACACGTCAGCGCGTCAGCCCGTTCGGACCAAAAAAGAAATCAATGGCGGGCATGCTGCTACCCCGTGCCTAACTGCTGCTACCCCGTGCCTAACTCAGTGCAAAGCACCTAACCTAACTCAAGCTACCTTACCTTAAGTTCGGCACTTCGCGGTACGTGCGTACCGCGTGGTGTTGCGACGGTTTGACGATTGCGACTCCCAGCGTCGAGTTTTCGACCCCACGGAGCCTCTGCTGCTCCGGGGGGGGGGGTCTGCAGACCACCCGGCCGAACTTCAGAGTGGCGGTGCTCCTCAAATACCGCTCAAACGCCCACGATGTTGTGGAGGGGACATATGCTGATGATCCTGGCCCGATTGGTTCGCTCAGAAAGCTTCTGGGCGGTCGCTAAGGTTCGCTCCCCGCACACGGGCCCCGGAATAAGATACATCATAGTACGTCACGTCACCGTCGTCGCGCTGCTCTCGCCGGAGCTCGGGAGCTTAGGCACAGCTTCGGCGATGGCAGCCCCTCTCTGGGGTGTTGCATAGGCGGGGAGTCCCCCCCGCTGGTCTCCTCCTTCCCATTTTTTCTTTTCTTTTGAGAGCAGGACGCCGGGTTTGTCTTGTATGTGCGTGTCGGGCCGGGGTGAGAGCGAGGGGCAGAAGGGGCGGGGGCGTGCGGGGCAGAGGCCCAACGTCGGGCGGCCTGTCGGGGTCGGAGAATTCGAGGGGGGAACGAAGAGGGGGGGATGGGCGGTCGGCGTCGGGGTAGCAGGCTGCAGCGTGCAGGGCGTACGGGGTAGCCGCCACTTTCCTGCCTCAAAAGGGCGGGGCTGTCCCGGAAAGTGAGAAACGCCGGGCAGCGTGGCGCACAACTGAACCCTCTCATACGTGTTTGTACCTCCTCCTTTGCTGTCCCATCTCCTCATCTCTTTCCCGCCTGGGCGGGGCAGCGGGCGGGCGCGCGGTGCGGCGCGGCGTGTGCGTGTGTGCGACTGCGACAGGGGACCGCTTGAAAGGGGCCATTGGGCTTGTATTATTAACAACGAAGGTAGGTAGGTAGGTAGTAAGGTGAAGAACAGCCAGGCTCGGACTGGACACCAACGCGGTATGGGTGGACGCTGGACAGATTACGACACGCCGCTCTCAAAAAAGAAAACGCACGCGGCACTTGCCGGTCACCCGCGGTCTCACTCAGGAGCTCTCCGACCAAATTCGCGATGCCGCCCGCAGATTTCGTGCTGCTCCCGCGCGACCTGCCTTGGGAGCGTGCGTACGACCGCGAGGACGCGAACGCGCCGCAGATCGCCAAGCTGCGCCTCACGCTCCCTGCCGACTACCCCGCCGGGACCGTCCTCAAGCTGCCCATGCCGTGTGCGTGCAGCGAGCACACGTCCCGCTTCACTAAGATCAAAGCGGGGACCTCGGTCATCATCAAGTGGGACCTCGGCATCTGCGGCCTCGCAGCGCCACCAGGTGCGGACGGGGCGGGGGCGGGGGGCGCAGAGGTGGCGGAGGCGACAGAAGCAGCACCGCCGCCGCCGGCCGGGCTGGAGAAGGGTGCGGAGTTGGCAGTGGCGGAGCCGGCGGATGCGACGGCGCCAGGTCCGGGGGCAGAATCGCAGCTCAACTCCGAGCTCAGCAGCAGCGAGCTGATCAGGAGCGAGCGGAGCAAGACGGGCTTCAAGTGCGTGAGCAAAACGAGTAGCGGTGCCACGCCCTACAGTGTCCAAGTGTCCCGCAAGGGCAAGACCGTCATTCTCGGCAGCTACGCCACGGCAGAGGAGGGGGCGCGAGTCTACGCTGCCACGCCAGAGGGCATCGCTGACCTGGCGGCAAGGGATGCGCCACCACCGCCGCCGCAGCCGCAGCTCCCCTCCAACTCCGAGCTCAGCAGCAGCGAGCTAATCAGGAGCGAGCGGAGCAGCACGGGCTTCAAGGGCGTGAGCAAAGTGGGCAGCGGTGCCACGCCCTACCGAGTCTCGGTGCAGCGCGGAGGCACCACCGTCACTCTCGGCTACTACTCCACCGCAGAGGAGGCGGCGCGAGTCTACGCTGCCACGCCGGAGGGCCTCGCCGACCTGGCGGCAAGGAACGCTCCGCCGACGCCTCGCCCCGCCAAGCGCGCCGCGCCACTCCCTGCCGTGCCGCCCTCCTCCGCCGCTGCGTCGAAGCAGTCGAGCGGCGTGCAGCTGGTCACCAGCGCAACGAACAAGACGGGCTTCAAGGGCGTGTATAAGGTGGGCAGCGGTGCCACGCCCTACTCCGCCCACGTGTACCGCAACGGCGATAATGTCGTCCTCGGCCACTTCGCCACGGCAGAGGAGGCGGCGCGTTGCTACGCGCGCACGCCGGAGGCCAAAGCCGACTTGGCGGTCAGTGCCGCGCCGCCAGTGCTCTTTGATGGCGTCGAGCTCATCACCAGCGAGCGGAGCAACTCGGGCTTCAAGTGCGTGAGCAAGGTGAACAACGGTGCCACGCCCTACTATGTCCAAGTTTGGCGCAAGGGCACAACCGTCACTCTCGGCCGCTACGCCACTGCGGAGGAGGCGGCCCTCCGCTACGCGCGCTCGGTAGAGGGCAAGGCTGAGCTGGCGGCCAGGTCTGCAGCCAGATCAGCGCCGCAGGCCAGCACCGCGCCCCGCAAGCGGCAGAAGTTCGAGACCGCGGTCGGCGCGGGCGGCGCCGCCACTTCCGCCTCAGCTGCCACCTCCCACTCCGCCGCCGCCTCCTCCACCGCCGCCGCCTCTGCGGCCGAGTTCGAGGTGGACCGCATCCTCTCGGAGCGGCGCCGGCCGAGCGGCGGCGTCGAGTACCTCGTCGCGTGGAAGGGTTGCTATGCCCCCTCCTGGGAGCCCGCCTCCAACTTGGCGGACGAGGACGGCGCGGTGTGCGCGGCGCTGCTGGCGTGGTGTGCGTCGCGCGTTGCGCCGCGCCAGGGCGGCCCGGCGACCGAGCTTCCGCCCCTCGGCATGCCGGCGGCAGAGCCCCTCCCGCCCCTCGGGATGCCGGCGGTGGTGCAGGCTCTCGAGGGGGTCGGGCTGGGCCGGTACGCGGCGGCGTTCGAGGAGCAGGGCTATGACGACCTCCGCTACTTGCGGACGATGGACGCGGCGGAGCGCGCCACCGTGGCGGAGAGCGTGGGCATGAAGCAAGGCCACGCCGACAAGTTTGTCAAGTTCGCGTTTGAGCCGGCGTAGCATCGAGGCTGGCGCAAGTCGAGAGCGGCGGGCGCACGTGCGCGAGCGAGCGGGGCGGTGGAGACTTTTGCGCGCCTCTCTACATAGAGCCCCCTCGCAGATGATGCAATGTACGATTCGTTGCTGTACGTTGGTGTGACGAGTAATGGAAATCTCTGCGCAAGAACAGTAGATCGTTGGGGTAGAGTCAGTAGATTAAGACTGGAGATCCTAGCGGATCTCTCACACGGACACGCCCAAGTCTCGCCAGTAGATCCCTCCTGTCCGGTTCCCCATTCAAGACTAAAGAACGAAGATTGAGATTGTGGATTGCAGATCGCTGAGCAGCAACACGGGCCAAAATGTGGGAGATAGGAGATGGAGAATGCAGATTGTAGATCCTAGCGCCCAGCCATCCGCCCCAGATGTGAGATCGAAGATTGAAAATGGAGGTCGTAGATTGCTGCCGGCGGCGACAGTGGCCAAGTAGAAGATTGGAGATTGGAGATGAGAGATGGTCAGTGTGAATGAATCCAAATTGCATCTCCTTGAAGGTTTGAGCCCCCCTCCTCCCCCGGGCCCCCGAATCGAGATTGGAGATTGGAGATTGGAGATTGGAGATGGAGATCGGAGATCTGACTGAATCCGGCCTAAGATGACGACGTTGGGAGATTGGAGATTGAAGATGGAGATCGGAGATCTGACTGGATCCCCGGCCTAAGATGACGACGCTGTGGATTGGAGAGTATTGGAGGTGGGGAGGTCGGAGCCCACCCACCCCCTAGTGGTGTTGATAGATGTTTTATAGATTTTTGTTTTTTCCTGTGGTCTGTGCGCGGACGGCCCGGGGAGCCTGCGGCGCCATCTTAATCTGCGCTCCTCTTTATGGCCTGCGGCGCCTGGCTTGAGCTTGGAAGTGTAAACGAGTCCCCCAGGGCGGTCTGCAAACACGGAGCGCG